GGGGGGAACCGCGCGCGGGCGCGGGCTCGGGAGCGGGCTGCGGGCGGGAGGGAGGGGGCAGGCGCGGGCGGTGACGTCACGTTCGCGGGAAGCTTTGTGCCGCCAGCACGGGAGGGCGCGAGCCGTGGGGGCAGGGCTTAAAGGGGCCGCGCGGGCCGGCACCGGCACCCTCCGGGCCGGGATCCTCCCCTCAGCCCCGGCATCCCCGCTGGGGACAGAGATTCTCCCCTCGGGGCCGGGATCCGCTCCTCAGGGGCTGGGGATCTCCTCCGCCGGGCCGGGGATCCTCGGGGACGGGATCCTCCCCTCAGGGGCCGGGCACGGGAATCCTCCGGGCCGGGATCCTTCCCTCAGCCCGGGGATCTTCTCCTCTGGGCCGGAGATCCTCGGGGATGGTGTCGTCCCCTCAGGGGCCGGGGATCCTCTCTTCAGGGGCTGGGGATCTCCTCCTCCACCGGGCCGGGGATCCTCCGCTCAGCCCCAGGATCCTCGGGGACGGGATCCTCCCCTCAGCCCGGGCATCTTGGGGCCGGAGATCCTTCCCTCATCCCGGGGATCCTCTGCTCTGGGCCGGGGATCCTCGGGGTTGGTGTCGTCCCCTCAGGGGCCGGGGATCCTCTCTTCAGGGGCTGGGGCTCTCCTCCTCCACCGGGCCGGGGATCCTCGGGGATGGTGTCGTCCCCTCAGGGGTCGGGGATCCTCTCTTCAGGGGCTGGGGCTCTCCTCCTCCACCGGGCCGGGGATCCTCGGGGATGGTGTCGTCCCCTCAGGGGTCGGGGATCCTCTCTTCAGGGGCTGGGGCTCTCCTCCTCCACCGGGCCGGGGATCCTCGGGGATGGTGTCGTCCCCTCAGGGGTCGGGGATCCTCTCTTCAGGGGCTGGGGCTCTCCTCCTCCACCGGGCCGGGGATCCTCGGGGATGGTGTCGTCCCCTCAGGGGCCGGGGATCCTCTCTTCAGGGGCTGGGGATCTCCTCCTCCACCGGGCCGGGGATCCTCCGCTCAGCCCCAGGATCCTCGGGGACGGGATCCTTCCCTCAGCCCGGGGATCCTCCTCTTGGGGCCGGGGATCCTTCCCTTAGCCCGGGGATCCTCTCCTCTGGGCCGGAGATCCTCGGGGATGGTGTCGTCCCCTCAGGGGCCGGGGATCCTCCCCTCAGCCTGGGGATCCCCGGGGCCGGGATCCTCCCCTCAGAGGCCGGGAATCTTCCCCTCAGCCCGGGGATCCTCCTCTTGGGGCCGGGGATCCTCGGGGATGGTGTCCTCCCCTCAGGGGCTGAGGATCTTCCCCTCAGCCTGGGGACCCTCCGCTTGGAGCCGGGGATCCTCTAGGCCTGGGGATCCTGTCCCCAGGGCCGTTCCCCAGCCCCAGGCCGCCCCTTCCCCTCAGCTTGGTTCTTCCTGGGGGGACCCGTGGCCACTTGGGGGGAACTGGCCACCGGGCAAGACGTGGGGGTTCCTGCGGGGACAGGGACAGTCCCAGCCCGGCCCTGGCACCCCAGGGACACCCCCGGGGACTGGGGGAGAGCCCTGTTCAGCCCCTCCTGGCATGGGGGGGCTCCAGGGACGTTCCGCTCTTGGGGGGTTTGGTTCCTCCACCGTCCCCGCCTGAGCAGGATGAGTTTGCGCTTACTTATTTCCATGAGCTAATTGTGGCCAACGTCTAAACGACAATAAAAATTGCGCAGCACCAAATAGTTAATCCTTATTTCACAAAACTCGGGGAAAGGGATTTGCAGGGATTTCCCTCCCCAAGAGGGAAGAGCCGAGCCTGTGCCGGCAGACGCCTCCGGAGCTGCTGAGTCTTCCCGATGGACGCGTCGGCTTCCTCGGCCAACGCCTGAGAGGTGAAACGGGGAATCCCAAGTGCAAATCAATGGATAAAGCGGCCGAGGAGGGCGGATGGAGAAGCTCCCCGTGTACAAAAGCACAAATCTCTGGGGCAGAAGAGGACAACTGTGTCCTGAAGAACATGAGTGACAAGGAAGGTGGGTTTAAACCTGTGCCAGGAGCATCTCAACGAGACAAATGTTCAATCTAAAGATGAATCTGGGAAAACTTTCCTGAGTCTTTCATCCCTGCGAGGGAGCAGTCCCACCGAAGAGAGGAACGTGTTAAGGTTGGAAGGGAAATTAAACACAAGGCTGTTTGGAGCCGTCCCTCGTTAGCACATGGTCCCACAAGATCTAGTGAGTCCCTAACTCTGCACTTCGGGCACAAACCCGACCTTTTCGGTCACTTCAGCAAACCAGCCAGGAGAACCCTGGCAACAGGACAGGCAAAAAAATCACTGTGTTTCATGGCAAAGCCAATCAAGTTGTGGAGCTTGAAACAAAATACCTACATGGTAAAAAGAGTGTTTTGCTTTTTACAGAATTATTAAGGGTGAAAAAAGGGAAGGGAAGGGAAGGGGATCGGTTTCTCAGGGGGATCACTTAATTTTCAATGATTGTGGGGTTTGATGATCGTGGCTGTACCTCTGAAAGAGGGAAAACCGACAGGAGCCCGTGGTCCCACCGTTGCCGAAGCCGGAGTCTGGTGCTCAGCACACCGGGCCTCTGCCAGGCTGGGGAGAGCCCTGGTTCCCCACGGTTCTACTCCTTGCGGGGGCTGGAGACACGGCAGAAATGAGGGGGGTTCTTATTCCCTGGATGGGGAGAAGGATTGTCCAGGCCAGGGCAGAAAGGGAAGCGATGCCGGTGATGCCGATGTGCACTGGGGTTTGCCCGGGGGTGTGAGTGAGACCCAGGTGAGGGCCATAGTGACCAAACTTGCCATGTCCTGCTGGGGCAACCAGCCCCAATGGTGGCAGGAGACCTGGGGGACATTCCCTGGGACAAAACACCGTGGTGAGGTCCCCCACGGTGATGGGGCAGGTGTCAGAGGGGGAAGCTGCCCCCATCGTAGCTCACACCCAGCTCTGACAAAACTCAGATTTTTCTATCCTAACCTTTCATAATGCAGGAAGACATGAATCCACAAAATTTGGCTTTTCAGGACCTGTTTTGTCTCAGGGAAGTGAGAAAGCTCGTTTTCCTTAAAGCACACAAAAGCCACAGGAAGAGCTCGGCACCTCTTAGTGTCCCTTCCCCTCCTTTCTCCCCCAGGGAAAAAACCCTGGCTCTGGAGCCCAAACCCAGTTATGAAGAAGATGGATTTTAAATGTGAAGTCGATGTAGGTTGTTACTATCTTTGCTAAGCCCTTTGCCTCCTTTCTAAGAAGCCTGGTTTGGAAAAAAATGAATTATTGGCAGGGTAGTCCCCCTGCTGCCCAGCACGACATCACTGCCACCAGAGCACGTGCCCTAAGGTGGCATGGGAAAGGTTATGGATCCTGCCCTGAGAGAATTTCCCTTGGGCAAAAGAAAGCATTTCTCCAAGCTTTTCCAGCGCTGCCAAGTGGGGGAAAACCCACAGCGTGTGTGTGCAGTGACACAGGGGACAGCCC